TTTTTCACTATAAATACTCATGCATGCAAAGGCAATGGGCAAGCAAGAGTAGGAGAAAGCAAGAGAAATTGAGTGAGAGCTCTTGTGAGAGAAAAAAAAGAGAGAAATTGTGAGAAATCCTTGTGTAGATTAAGAGGGAGTACTAGGGAGAATTTGGGAGCTTTTATACATTGAAACTAGGGTGTTGAGTGCTTCTTGAGTGAGAGAGCTTCTAAATTATTGTACTCTTTCTCTTAATAATGAATTTATTTCTCTTTCTCGTGAACGTAGACTTGTTGAGAGGTGTACAAGTCAAACCACGTTAAATTATTGTCTCAATTTTTTTATCGCTTCCGTTTGTGTGGGATTGCGGTGCTCCAAATTCTCAACAGTAACTGCCATCGGAGACTTTCCGGTGAACCTCTTCTAAAAAGGCCTTTACTTAACGAAATTTCTCTCTATTTCCTCAACGTTCAAAATCTATCCCAGATTTTTCGTTCGATTCCTGAAGACTTCTGTTCTCCTCATCGCCGTTCCTCAACTCAACCGCAGAAGTCAAGGCCGGTCGTCGTAAATGAGCGCAGGGAACCGATCTCGACTTTGATTGAGGCCTGCTTTTCAAATTTTCTGGAGAAAAGAAAGCTTTTAGTGTCTTTTTAATCCGTTTTCTCGGTAACCAAACTTAAGACATCTTTTGATTGAGTTTTAACTTTTAATTATGCATGAAGTTAAGTTACTTTTCTTTTAGTTATAGATATTATGAAATTATAGAGATACGGTCAAAGGTTTAACTTCGATGGATGATTTTCATGGATGGTCAAAGGTCAAAGGTTCTTGGAAGAAAATTCTTGATCCAAAGGGATCTTTCCTTGAAATCTGGAATAAAATATTTCTCTTAGCCTGTGTAATTGCTTTGGCACTGGACCCTCTTTTCTTCTACACCCCAGTGGTTGTGAATGACGGAACCCAAAAATGCCTCAACCTGAATAAAAGACTGGCAAACATTGCCTGTGTCCTTCGTACACTCATCGATGCCTTTTATATAATTCACATGATCTTTCAATTCCGAACTGGGTTCTATGCCCTTGGTTCTAGAGTCTTTGCTGGTGACTTGATTGTTGATCCTTGGGATATTGCAAAGAGGTACTTTTTCACATACTTCATCATCGACGTCCTGTCAATTCTTCCACTTCCACAGGTTTGTTTCTTCTCTGTAGTAAGTTCCAATTAAGTTCTTCAATATCATTAAAGAAAAGATTACAACTTAACAATTGTTGTTACTTTGTGTTCTCTCTCAGCTTGTAATTTTGCTTGGCCCTTCATTGAAAGACCAGCCGGTTGCATTTCTAACGAAGGAGTCATTGAAATACATTATTTACTGTCAATATGTACCGAGGATTGTTCGAATTGTTCCTCTTTATATAGAAGTTAAACGAACTTCAGGCATTATCACTGAGACTGCTTGGGGTGGAGCTGCTCTGAATCTATTCCTCTACACGCTAGCCAGCCATGTAAGTGTGTGTGTTTATTATTTTTTTTTTCAAAGGGATAGTTTGGATTTCCTTACACTTAAATGCACCGTTCAATTCCAGGTTTTTGGGGCCATCTGGTACATGATTTCAGTAGAAAGACAAGAGCGGTGTTGGGGTGATGTTGCTAGGGGACATAGTTATAACCGTAGTCTTTTGTACTGTACATGTAATGATTCGGCGGACCATGGACTAGCCGAATCATTTCGTGCTTTGCAGAAAGTCCTGATCCTGAATACTTCCTGCTCTTTGATCAATCCTGATGAAATTACAAATTCAACAGACTTCAATTTTGGAATATTCTTTGATGCACTCCAGTCAGAGATTGTGGGAACTAGGAGTTTCCGTAAAAAATTGTTTTACTGCTTCTGGTGGGGTCTGCGTAATCTCAGGTTTGTATATCACAATCTCCTTATTGATTATTGAATTACTCAAAAATTAATGTTTTCCTTATTCATTCTCAGCTCTTTAGGGTCGAATCTGAAAACAAGCACTTTTGTTTGGGAGATTATGTTTGCTGTTGTCATTTCCATTGCTGGACTGGTTTTGTTTGCATTACTTATTGGCAACATGCAGGTATTTCTTGATGCTTTTCATCTACCATCGTCTTTATTTAATAAATATGTCTAAGACGGTTTCTCTTGCTTTTATAGAAATATCTGCAGTCAACAGGAGTAAGGGTTGAAGAAATGAGAGTCAAAAGAACAGATGCAGAGCAATGGATGAAACATAGAATGCTACCG